AATGAACAAAAAAATAATTTTTAATTTAATATTACTAAAATAAATTATCATTGTATTATTATGTATTATTCAATTTTCTGCTTTATCAAATATTATTTTATACATTTTTTAAAAATTTTGTTCATATACAACAGGTTATCAACGTTGTCAATAAGTCTACAAAAATGTGAAAGAAAATATAAACAATAATATAAAACCCTGCGCTTTTATTAGTTTAACATGTATTACCCATCGTCCATCATATACATATTATGGAAAATAATTTATCAAAAAGCTGAAAAATAAAAACCTCCATTAACTTTATACACATACTTAAGTTCACCTAAATATTAAACTTGAATTCTTATTAAGAACGATATCAATAAATCAAATTAGATGGTGTAAAACGATATATTGTCATAGGGCATATTTAAAAAAATTAAATAAAACGTTACAATATAATAATCGACCCATACACAGTATGGTATAGCGAAATTAGTTATATCATCTCTGTGATACTGTAGGTACCTAATAATAATGGACACCGAAAATTGTTATAACATCATATATAATTTTTTTATTGTATAATTCTATGATTTTTTTTTTTTATTAAATTTAACCCTTGGCTTCGTGGCTGTTGGGAGAATGATTATAACGATAGGTTTTCCAAATTATCATAATGTTTTAAATGTTTATGATGTTATTGGCGTTTATTTTCTTTGCAACTCTCTATAGGTAGGTCTTCTTTGATGATAAAACAAAAAATAATAATTACGATTATAAAATAATATGCATTATTGTTCGTCGGCAATAGCATGATTTGCTATTGAGTTTCGAGAGAGCAAAAAACGCGTTAGTGTTTAGGTACAAGTATACCTTTGTCATAAAGTATTATGCTTGTGTTTCTACGATGTCACTCTGTGAAATCCATAATAGTTTAGTGACAACACGTACGGAATTATTTTCTTGTTCTTTTTTCTCTTCACTCGTCTGCCGTGTTGACATTTTATCATGAAATACATGGCTACAGTATACAGTTTCTGGTACGTTTACACATGCATTTCGTTGATCCAAATAAATCGTACACGCGAGTGTTATATTTCTCATGAGTTTTTAAATGTTTTTCTACACCGAGTCGGTTAGGTCGCTGTTTCTCTTGTTACTATTGACATTCCGTTCGAATCGTTTTTCATTTGAATTTAACACTGTGCCAGACGCCGTTTATTGTTGTGAGTTGTCATTTGTGGAAACAAATAAAATATGATGTTTAGCTATGCTTCTAGAAACAAGCTACTGCAGAACTTAACCGACCTACCGTGGCTCGACAACGTCGTCACACCTTTCATTAATAATTTACCTGCATCATCGAATAAATAATCAATACAACGCACTATATTATAACTTTTGGCTAGGAATTAGTTCGTGAACACAAGCACATATACGTCACGAACAAATTATGGCGATAGCAACACAGTTCTAAACGTTTTACTAATTTCAATAATATTTGTATATTTCGTTTTCACCAATTTAAATACAATATATCAGTATATCACTATAATAACAGTCGGATTTTAATCTTCCATATAAATACACCGAACTGTTGTATACTGCATTTGCAAGTACATTGATATAATATGTATTATAATTGATAATATATTATGGGTAGCACATTGACCCAAATTATCCGAATGATAAGCTGTAATTGAGTTGATTTTTTTTACACGTTCCATTATTATCGAATTTCACTCAATTGATGATTCACATCATTTGGCCCCTCATTCCGGGGAGTTGCCTCTCATGTGATTAGCGTATGAGCATGTCCTAACCATAAATCTGTTTATTTGTTATCTATGACTGCACGATCTATCACGTATATATAATGTCTACTCGATAAAATATATAATATTACCTAAATAAAAGACTTTTTTTTTATGTCAGATATTTTTCCAAGTTGGAACTTACATGTCTTCTGTATACTTACAGATTCTACATAATAGTCGTTTAATACGCAAACTTTAAAAAAATATTCAAAAATAATGAGCTCTACCTTTCGTTCAATGTAATAGTCTAACCTACTCGTGTATAAAAACAGTAACGCGTGTAAATTAATATAATTTTTGAAAACAATTACCACAATATTTATTTATGTAGTTTTTTCCATGTTTTAAATGGTAATTAATAATAAATAGATTAGTAGTAAATAAGATTAAAACAAATAAAATCTTTATTACAACAAAAAACACTCTTTAAGACATTTTTTTACTATTTAATCTTATTTAAATTAACATTTTTTAATTATATATTTGATTTAAAAAGGTGAAATAGATTTTTTATTATGACAATAATATAATAAGTTATAGTTAGCATAGTCAAATGTTAATTATCCACTTTGAAGTACCTTAATAAACTTTAATGATCAATATTTTTTTAAAGCTTATTAAATAAAATGTATTATCTTTTATTTTTTTACACGACTCCTAAAAATCTTAAAATTTTATCATTCTAAACTAAGATTACTTCAGAGTGTAAAACGTGTTGACGACGTTGACGTTTACTGTTATAGTTTACTTTATGGATTACGTAGTTTTGAAGTATCTTAAAACTATAACTGTTATATTATTATACTTCTGGTCTCCAATATTACTGTGACTATACCATTGGTTTTAAATTCTTTGTGGCGCTGTATACAATATTGTAGAGTTTTTATTTTAAATTTATGTTGCATGAGGCAAACCATGAAAAGCTATAATAATCTATAACTATATATTATAACTTTTAACCTAAAGTATACATTACGTTACAGACGAGATGCGTGTTATCCGATTTTGTTTCATGATTTGCATACAAGAATAACACTGATATTTATGTAAATCGGTAAATAATAACTTATTTACATATTTCTTTTTATCGAGCTTATAAAGAATATCAAATCTTTAAGGTTTAAATGGTTATGGTCACGTCGGTACGCGTTACAATCTTTAAAAACAACGATTGTTACGCATTTAAATAACAATATATTCATTAGCTGCACGGTCTGGTCTTAGTTGACTTTAGTTAAAAAATATATAAATTATTTATGAATTTTTGAAATTTAATTTTTAGGTATTTTTTAATTGATTTTGAATGGAAATTACTACCTAATTTGTTAAAGTATAAAAGCGGCCCATACCGGAATAATTCGTTATGAATGTATTTTGTTTCGAATCTATATTTCCGTTTAATTAAATAAAAAGTTAGACTTCGGACAGGATATAGGTAGCGACTGACGAGATATTGAAAACTTGTCTCATTTCACTAACTTTTGTGATGAACTGTTTCGTAACATATAAAATGCTTTTGAAGAATAGTTTATAAAACTACAAAGTTGAACAAAATATAAAATTGATATCAAGTATCACTAAATAATTGTTTTAAGTGTTTTAATGAAACTGTACATTTCTTTGAATCAAAGATACGATACATAATAGTTAATACTAGGTAATATATTTTATAACTTATACGATTATATGATTCAATTATAATAGGTACCTACCATATATTCACGTGATAACTATAAGGTATCAGGGACTAGATTATTAGAGTATTTAATTTTTTTAATAATTTAATAATTAATTACAAACTAACCTCGATAATTATTAATAGGCAATGACAATTTTATTTCTAGTTTAGTTTACCAATAACTACCATATTTTGTTTTCAATATTTTTCATACTGATTTATAAAATTTTTGTAACTAGCTAAAAGCTAAACCCAAATCTGTTAAAATGGCAATCAACTTTACATTTGTTAACGTCAATCAATAATTTTATTTTTCAATATTTAAAAAAAAAATTATATTACGCATAACTTTAATCTAATAATCCAGGTGGTTAATTATAAATAGATTATAATTAATTACGGATTTAATAGGAGGAGTAGAGAAGGATAATCTAAAAATAGATGTATACACTTTTGTACAGCTCCCCGTTAGTTTAAACTTCAATTAATTATATTTAATTAACCATTATCTAAATCTATATTAGATTTATCCAAACCAAAATGTTTAGAAAATCAATGCTTTTGATGATTTAAAAAAATATATCAATCTTAAATTTTGTTTGACTACGACCTTACAAATACTTGAAAAAGTATAAATAACCCAGTTGAGAACTTTAACTCGAAAAAAAATCACAGTTTACAAAGTGATATATTTTTATTTATTATTATATAAAGTTTATATTATAAACTATTATTAAATACGAACAATATTAGTCATATTAAGTTAGACAAATAAATTAAAATTAAAACATTTGAATGTCGATATGCAAAATGCATAATAATAGAATAACAACTATTAATTAACACAAATAAAACAAAAAAAAATTCTCTAATCATTGATACTTAGTGATAATAATTAATATTATGGTATTACTAAATAGCTTTGAATCATCGACTTAAGATCGAATAATGTTTGTATTGCCGTGTAGCAATGAACAAATCGACCGTTACCATAATTTTTTCATAATATAGACAGTGGTCATGTTGTGAACAATTTATCTTTTTTTCTTTTTATAAATATAAAGTTAATTATTTATAAATAATAAATTAGCGTAAACGAAGTTCTGGATTCAAACGAATTTCCGCTCGAATAAGGTTTTATAATTTATTGTTTGATGGGAATGCTTATTATTGTGACAACGGACAAAGTCAACAACAGGTGCGCATTTGCAATACTCAACAGATAGTCAAACGGGTAACGGTTTATACAATTTACAAGGAAAACGATCGCTAAAAGCATTATCCGGTCGTGTTTAGCATACGACATCGACTGAATATCCGATCGCCAATAAATTATTTATATCACGTAAAACATTGAAACGGCCAGAGTGGCAAAAAGTTTTCTCCTTCTTCTCTTACTAGTCGACTGTAACAAATTATCATTCCTATTTCCTATATAATCACCAGTTCCCGGTAATTTTGCAACCACCATGACTAGAGTCGTGTGGCCTAACCCGATTTATTTATTCTTGTTTTTTGTATAGGCTTTTCGAAGAACACCAAGAACTTCTCCAATTATTCACCAAATTTGGCGAACTAAAAACCAGGGACGCACAAGCCAACAGTATGGAGCTAGCCGAACACGCTAACAAAGTGATGACTACACTAGACGAAGGCATTAAAGAACTGGACGACCTTGACAACTTCTTCCAGTACCTAACCCAAGTGGGCGCTACACACAAGACCATACCAGGCTTCAACCCGGACTATTTTTGGGTAATAAACCATGACAATATAACATGTTATGTTTTTCGATTAGATAATTGATAATAATACAATATAATTTATCGGGGGTGGAGTGGCCGAGTGGACTAACGCCGTGTCCTACGTGAATCCGACGAGTGCGACTCGTGCGAACGAATTTTATTCTGACTATGCTGTTCTGTTGCAATACGATGCGTCCGATGCGACAAAATACAAACTGTTTTGTTTTTCGTCGCGTAGGTCGGATTCACGTAGGACACGGCATAAGGCGTCGGTTGCGACGCACGCAGTCGCCGGTTCGAATCTCGGTCACGGGCGGCATCGCTCATTGGGCATTTCGCGATGTCTGGAGAGAGAGGCCGCCAGCCCCCAACCGGGCTTGGCAGAAACCCACGGGTGCCCATTCAAAATTCTGCCAAAAACCCACGAGTTAAAACCTTACAGTACCTTCCCCTACAGTTTCCCAAGCTAATGACCTCAGTTGTCGAAGCCCTAACCATAAAAAAAAAAAATAATAATAATATTTATTATTATTATAGTATGCGTTCATGTTTTAAAGACTATGTTAGATTGGCTGACCTACCCAAACCTTATATTATTTTTTGTAGTTATTATTAACTTCAAATTTGAAATGGTATGTTAATACGAAATTATTGTAAATTTAACATGGTATATTCCTAAATTTATGATTTTATAAAATATTCACTAGACAAAATGAGCAATAAAATTTTTCATATCAATACTGAAAATTTACATTAGTAATAAAAAACAAACCCCATCAATATTATTTTTTTATAAAGTGAAATAATTTGATTTATTTCATGATAGGTAATATTAAGTTGTTATAGTTTTTGCTTCAGTTTATACTTCACGTGAATTTAAAAATGTTAATATTGTGTATAATTTATTGACTATTAAAATAATCAAAAACTTATTTACAATACAGGTACTTATATTATCTTGTTATACATTTCGATTTTAATGTAATTACTTCGGGAAATTTCCCTAGCTATCATTAATTATTATGAATTATAGCCTAAAGTTTTTATAAAATTTAGGCAACTTATATGCTAAAACTGTCTTAACTCAATTACTATTTATATAACTTCCATGAGTATAAATACATTACAATATGAAATTAGTATTAATTATAGCAGATTGCACAATTGTTTATAGTATGCTCAATAACTTTAAATTTTAAATTAAATAATATTTTTTGTTTATTATAACTTGAATAATAATTTTGTTGTTATAATTCGGGGTTTTTTTTAGTTTAAATTAACAAATATTTTTAAAATGATTAATCCCATTATTGCATGATATTACGATAATAGACAAAAAAACATAGCAATTGTATATTTTTAAAAAATGAATTCAGATTATTAAAATTGTATAGATAGAACTTTCAAAATTTCTAACAGTACCTACTTAAACTCTATAAAAAGTATTTGCTCTTAATCCCTCGAATCTAAAAATAATTATGATTTTTTGTTTATCATAATGAAAAATAACTGTACTCAATATAAGAAACAACATTGTTAAAAATTAAAAACACAATGCTCAACACATTAAAACTTGAGGTATTTTTGGTTTTTGACAGGGAGTAATGGAAGGTATTGGAAAAAAGAAAAATGTATATTTTTCCTTACCATTAAACGCTTTATAATAGCAATTGTAATCATCAATCACAAACCATGCGTCACGTATTTTATACTTAAAAAGATACCACACGGAGGACATTTTTTTTTGTCTCTGTCTTACAAACATACAATATGGAAAATTTTACGTTCACAATAATAAATTTTACATTTGTGATTTCTAAAATTATAGTGAATTTACCTCTTATAAAATTTAAAAGCAATAATATTATCTACTTATTTAGGGTATCTTAGAAGATTATTTTTCATTTGTATATTTTACAAAAAAAAAAAATATTTTAAAAATGGTCATAACTTACTTCAAAATAAACATATTCATAAAATCTTCCAAGAACCCTAAAATTTTATAAGTGGTTATTGTAACATAAAATTTGCCATGTTGTACATTTGTAAGGTGGAGATAACAAATACCCGTGTTACGTATATCCTCTAAATTATAAAGTATATATTGTATACATATTTTTGTACACACTATTATATTAATTGTAGATAGCAGTTACAAATTAATCATTACTTACATACTTTTTTTTTTTTGTTCCTGAATAACTTATCATTGTAGTCTGTAATAACAAATTAAACAATTATTTATTTAAATTTCAACATTATGCTAAACGTAAATGAACGTCAATTTTTAAAATAAAAATGTATACGATTCCCATACCTTTTATTTTTAATTTTTGATAGTTTTTTGAGAATCAAAATTGTTTTGAAATTCAACCAGAAAAATTCCTCCAAATACCATTCCACTTCAATTTACCATACCTATATCTACTAAAAAGGGACTAACATAAATAGGTATAGGTGCTACTCGTTTCTAATACAGTAATAGACCTATTTCTTAATTTTTTTTTATATTATTAGATTTGACATAAACCAAAAAAAATAAATTCATTGTATTTCTGTTTCACATATTATTAATTATTATGTATGCCTATAAAACTCAGCGAATAAGGTGCTCATTTTTTTTCGTTCAAATTAAGTTCACTTTTTAGTAACGTTAGATGTAAACTTTTTATTTAAATTTGAAAGTTTATTACTGCATATTATTATAATATTACAATAACAAAGAACTTTTGATCATTTTCGACGAACTATATGTTGATGAAATTCTAAATACTTTCAAGTATTTGTTATTTGTATTAGTTCAAGCGGGAACAAGTGAAAAACGTTTAAACATATATCACAAAAAAATAACGCTTTACTGAGAATAAATAAAAACTACACAATCAAAGTAGTTGATTTCCGCTTATATGACACTGTAGCAATAACATAATATAACAAATTAATAGTGTGACGTGCCAAAAGCAACTGTTTATCCAAAAATAAAAGACAGGCTATAATGGCACGTTGGCACAGTAATTTATCTAAAAACTTTAGTGGTTTTCTATAAGTACATTTTTACTAAGACAAATTATTTTCTGATCACAATTTAATACTCAGAATAATTTACAATTAATAATTTTTAATTTTGATTAAAACATGTAAAGAGGAAGTCGGAAATAGTAGAATTGTAGAGCACTCGATTGTGCCAACCGAAATATTAAATTAATAATTATCTATAGAACATGTCCGTTTTTGAGAATAAATAATTTCTGGGGATTTTCCAGGAACTGTGCTTAAAGATAGTATATTGGTTACAGCGGGGTTTTTTAAAAAAAGTATGTTAAATCTGAATGGAATTAAAGTCGTTTGAAGTTGTTTTAAGTCGTTTTAGAGATTATTTTTCTCGACGAATCTATAAAAATGAATAATATAATATTATGATGATGGAAAATCGACCGGAAGGCCAGAATTTTATTTTTGTTAGATTGAAAGGTTTCAGTGATATTTGAATGTTAAGACCATATTTGTTCAATTTTCGAGAACTAAATTTAAATCGATACTATTGAATGAAAAAATCCTTGATTTATGAAGCATGTATATATATTATGTCGATGAAAAAAAATGATGACAATTTTTGTCTAACGAATGAACGACAGAGGATTGAATAGAAATCAGTCATCAACAAATCACATAATACTCGGTCGGAATGAGACCGGAAATGGTGAAGTGATAATAAATCGCTCTGAGATGGGGCACATCTGTCACACCTATTTGCATTTAATGAAACGAGAAGAACTCCACGCTCGCAGAATATATTCTCCATCAGTTTTGGAGAAATAAATAACTCTTGCCATTAGACGTACCCTACTTGCTTACATTAAACAGTTTAAACATCTGTGGCTCACTTGCTAATAAAGATATCTTTATAAATCGATACCGCTCATCGCTAATAACCCTTATATATATATATATATATAAATTTTAAATAAGCTATATATATATATATATATAAATTTTAAATAAGCTAAGAAATTTTTTCAAAAATTCTAATTATATTTGTATGGTTTTATATTTAAAAAATACAAAACACCTACAAAAAAAATCTCAAGTATACTGACATGGAGATCTGTACAGGAATCTGTTTGTTGATCATTTTCTTCACTAAATTAAACTATAGTAAAATATTATTATCATACCAAAAGATCCAAGCCTAAACTAATTTTGGTCATAAAGAGGTCTCTATTGAAACATTTTCAAAAATAGGTATTTGAGAAAAATAATTTTCAACTACCTAGGTACATATATTTATAATATATTTAATATTATCTTAACTTAAATACTTATTGGTAATTTTTTTTAAATTATAAATATATTTCATAAGTTTTTATTAAAAGTATGATAGTAATGGATACTGAAAAAATTATCAGGCTATAGTCATAATATATCATATTTAAAATAAAAAAAAATTTCATAAAGACTAACATTTTGGTTTTTAAATTTACGACATTAAAACGCATAGAATTAAAATACAAGAAAATATTATATGTAATATAACTCATGTACATTGTTCTCACTAAAATCGATAAATCGATAAATCTTAAATTATTATTCAGATACTAATATACTATAAAATAGGTACTATTTGTATACGAGTTTTGAAAACTCTTTACAAATAGCATTATTCTGTTATATTATTGTTTCTTTTATGTTATATATTTTAAATCATCGTATTGAATAGTTTTTAAATACCTATACCGTTTAAATAGGTACGAAAACGCTTTTTAGGAGTGAGTTAATATTTGTCTAGTTAAACGGTAGGTACACAAAATAACCCGACTAAATAGCTATTCAGTAATGATTCGGCGAGGTATGTACCTACTAGGTATGTAAATTATTTCATGTCGACTTATAATATTATCAAGCATCGGCAAAGTTAAAAATGACTTAATTATATAATAAATTATACTTTTAAGGATACGTAATATTATAACAAGAGTTCATAAATCATTAAGGTTTCGTTATTTTAATGTATACTTTTTTAAGCTATCGAGCAAATTGATCGAATATTATTACAATAAATATTGATATAAAATCAAATATCATCTCTTATAATTTAATATTCCCAGTAAAATATTACCATGATGACGGCATTTTCATTATCTTTATTTTATGAACACTTTTTTGGTTTGAAGTTTCAATGGCTTTCCTTTAAACGCAGTCAGAAGTTCTTATATAGATTGTTCCTTTGAAAAAGTAATTTTTCGATTTTCTCGGTCATTGCTTTAAGCGTAAAGTAAAACCATTACTGACAACCATTAGGAGGGTTTAGTCTTTTAGGGGTTTCAATCCTTTTTTGCTTGTTTTTTTTTCAACTAGTAAAGTACAAATACATATCGTAAATTATAAATTTTTAAGCTATCCAACACATGGTATATTATTAACAGACGATAACAGACGATTGTTCAGTAATTATATTTTATATCAGCGTTCTAAATATATTATAGAAGGGTAGATTGTATGGTACTATCTACAGCCCATGGATATGATTAGTAGATGAGACTAATAGTTTGTCGGCTGATAGATAACGAATTCAAAAAAATAAAAATAAAAAATTATGAAAATGGTACAACCATATTTTTCATATCTGTATATCCATGTATTCGTAATCTGGGATATTAAACCTATCTTGCACAGCTAAATGTCAATATTATTATTTATTTAAAATGTCAATTTTTATTTTTTTACTTTGATAAAATAAACTTTTTTAACAAAATTGTATTAACAATCTGTATTTACAATGTTATACAATAGGTAAATTGGATGAATTAGAATGATGGGAAAGGAAGGTCACCCATACTAGATAATACTAAGATAATTAGGTACCTACAAGTTAATTATTCATCTAGTTTACCTATTGTGTTTCAATACGTTTGAAAATATTCTTTTAAATAAAAATAAAAACTTCTTAAGATAAAAATTTGATGTAAACAAATTTAATTTTAAACTTAATTCAAATTTTAAATTTGGTATTTTTTAATTAGCAATGAAAATTGTTAAATAGCTTAAATTCAAGTTTTAGAGCCGAAAATTGAAGGAAAAATCAACAAGGTGTATCTTGCCAAAGTAATACAATGTTTTAATACTTCATTCCATTTTAATATCTTAAATCGTTATTAACACGTTGTGTACCGATACATTAAAATCAACTTTTTATGGGAATAATAAAAATAAGTTTATTTCGTATTAATACTTTATAAGTTCCCAATTTATTTTACTATAACTTTTTTTATTATTATTATGATTTTCTCTGTGTAAACAAAATGAATGTGAAAAGTAATAAATAACCTATTTAAAATGGTTTTCAATACAGCAATATACAACGAGATAGGCGAATACGAAACATTTAGTGCACTTATTCGTCTAATTGAACATTGATTGTTATATATTAGATTCATAATTCAAAAAGAAAGTAACTGCACGTGCACGAAGTTAGGTTAGAGCATTTGTCGTTTTATTTAGAATCGATGATTATAATAATATTCACAACCAAACTAGAATATCTGCTCTGTGCTCACCATGTATAACACGTAGGTAATTGTCATTATAAAAGTGGACGATTTGTCACCCAAAATGTATTGTGTTATCACTCGAAAACGGTTGGGTTTGATGAATTTGTTCGGCTAACAGAATAAAAGCAATTATATAACGGCAATAGTTTTTGGGGTACACATCAATAGTTSCATTGTTTTTGGTTGTTCTTCGACATCGCAAAACAATTAACTGCACCCTGTGATTTGTTGATGTAATTACATACAATATGTTCCATAGAATTATGGGTAAAACCATTAGTTTTAACAGTTTCATACGCTGTACAAATTGATTTCGTTATCTGGTTAATCATTCAGTATACATTACATATAAATCATGGATTGGAGCTAATTGCTGCAGAATATTGAATTTTGAGAATCTACAGAAATATTAGCTTATTTAAATTGGTATTTTTTTTTCACCTGATGATAAGTTTATGATTTTTAAACGTGTAGTTATATTATCGTGTTGCACTATCAAAAGTTTTTAATTTAAAAATATTTAGGTTTCTGTGTATAAGTAAGAATAGTGTTTGTTACGTGTTTATTGTTTGAACTTGAAAATTGAATTGTTTCTAGATAATAACATTGGTTATATATATTTACCCATTACCATATTTATAATCATTGAAAAAAGATTATCTAGTCGATATACATTGGTTAAATATTCCATAGTCATACTTTTGAAATTTAGAAATGAATAAAATAGGTACTATAATTTATAAAAACATGGTGAGTCATTTAAATTATAATATTTTACACACGTATAACACACTTTACAATTTAAGCAATGAAATAATATTTCCTTTAAAATACAAACAATTAAGTTATCTATCTTAAAAGTTCATTATACGTCAATATATTTTAATATGAAAACTAACGAAACTAAACGTGAACTGCTGCTTTGTAACCAATAGCGCAAATCGTTTTATTTTTACAGGGTTTAAACCAAAAAATTTACCAGCCAGCACTCTCTAACCATCATTAATTACTATAAATTGAATGAGTTATTCAGTAGATACATTATTGCATTTAAAATATAATTATTAACTATATAACTTTTAACAGTTAATAAGATTCATCAATCATCATATAGGTACACTCCACATAGAAAATATATATATATATATATATATAAATATCAGAAACGTTCTATGAACTTTGAAATAATATTTTATTTTGAGTACAGCTCTGAAATTTACCTATAAATTACTTTCGATTGTTCCGATTGTTCAGTCTGCAATATTAATAAAATCTAGCTCATGTAGGAAATCAAACAGACATCTCATGAATATGTTTTATGCTTATAATAAATTCCATATACGAGATTTCCGATAACACGTGCTTGTAATAAACTGAGGCAAATCTGATTCATAACTCTGACACAAAAAATAATAATATTATATTGACATGCAATCACTGATGCTGAGCCTGAGTTGATAATATTTGACGTGTGATTGATGACCAAAAATAACGGACTGAATTAGATAATAATCACGTTTTTGAGTTATTTTGAACCATCAAAACTGAATTTACAAAAATTTATTGGAAAAAAAAAATCATTAAATACTATTATGTTTAACAATGCACGAACATTGCACGGTTATAAGTCATAACATTTGTATTTATTTCAATACATTTAGCAAAGATTAATAAAATGGTTTAAAATGATTATGGATTATTTTAGGAAAAGTAAAAGGTTATAAAATGCTTATTGAACGAGAATGCATTTTTTCATTGAGTAGATTATTATACTGAATGATTGTATGTGTTAAATTATAATTAAGAGATAAATAATTGTAAACGAAAAACAATTCTGAGCGGAGAGGATGATGTGACAGTCTCTATAGGTATATTGTTAAAGATATTTTATAGTTTAATAATATAACCATTATTCATTTATTTTTCTATCACTAAAATATGGTATATTATTCCAATTTAGCAAAAAAAAAAAATCGCATATGTTGTATTATATTATAATACATACATAATGATTCAATAAACATGTTAACCCCCATTTTTTTATTTAAAAATCAATTAGTTCAAATTTTTATTCTTAAAATGTTTAAATATACTTAAAGATAATATTTTAAAATTATTGAATATTTTCATCCTTCTTGAAGAACTTCCTGTGGTAGTATAAACTTCTATATATTATATGTATATACATTGGCGTGGCAAAGAGTAATTTCAGAGGCAATTGCCTCTGGGATTCTTCAAATATTGGGGGGGTATCAAGGATTGTACTTATTTACATGCAAATATATGTGGGGTGGGTCATCTATATGGGGGGTTGCCTCTGGAATATTTTTAGTTCACCACGACACTGTGTATATATATATTTTTTTAATGAGAACCTCCCTTGTTATTAAAACGTTTATATTGATGATAAAATAGCCTACCTGAATGGGTTTATAATATATAAAAAAAAAAATTATATGTAATATCAGATCAAGTATTTATGTTATACTTGAACCAATAATTGTACAAATTGTAAATATTCATAGATTAATAAAATCACTAAAATTTCCAATTTACTATACCTAATAAATCCGAGAAAAAACATTTATGAAGATTTTAAAACATTTATAAACAAATTCTAAAATTTTAAATGTATAGAAGTATAAGCAGCTCTCAAATTTTTTTTTACTAATACTTTTCCGAATAAAACACAAATAAATATTTCATCATGTCTTTATACATTTTTGGCGAAAATATTAAACATCTATGATTCTTAATTTTTTCAAATATAATATATAAATAAAATTGATTTTGTCATAAACTGCAGGTATTGAGTAAACATTTCTGTTATTTTTGTATATTTTCAAAAAGTTTTTTTTCGATTATATTATCGAATAGCATGGAATTTTTATATTTTGTTCAAATGCATCAGCTAGACACAATTCGTTACTAGAAACTCTAAAAGTTGAAGATTAAACCATTGAAATTCATTTAAACTGTTTGAAAAGGCGGACACAAAATAAAAATAATACTTATCACTATTGAGTTAAGCTTCAGGTTTGAATGGTTAACAAATTCACAATAAAAATAACCTTGCTATTTAATTAAACCAATCAAAACAGTGTACGATTTATAATTATTCGTTGATTTGTATGTCTATAACACGTTTTTGATTTGTAATTTTTTTTTTAGAAAATCGAAGTGCCATTTTTGGAAGCAGTAAAAACTACATTAGGTGATCGGTTTACAGAAAACATCGAAACTATATATAAAATCACCATTAAACTCATAATTGAGACATTAGTCAAAGGATATACAGAAGCCCCTGGGCCATGAAAAAAGAACCACACAGGAGCTTAATGAAATCGTAAATTTCATATCATTTCAAATGTTCAGATGATCGAAAATAATAATATTATATTCCATTGTCAAACAATATGTTTTAATATGTCATTTTGAAATTAAATTTAAAAAACAATAAATGATAAGCTCAAATTTATTAACTGAGCGCAATTTGTATTAATGTCATAATGTCAATTTGATTATCAACGTGTACCTATACATATAACGAAATCATATTTATATAATTATAAACATATAAATAAAAATGTGTAATTATTGTTATTGATTGTTAATTGGCTATTATTATTTATTACTAATATTAAACCAACGTTGTATACATACTGTATTTTATATAGTTATGAGACTAGATATATATTTATTAGATAAACATTATTATTTCGATTTGAACTGTTTTTGTTTATTCATTTTTTGATTATTTATATTTAGAAAATAATTATCTTATTCGGTATGGCTTTACTGCCAGATTCATTGCGTAGACGTCTGGTTACATTGGCTTCAAGTGAGTTGCATTAGATTAATTGTATACTGTCTAATACAGATTTTATGATTTATTTTAATATTATAAAATATTAAGAATAACACTAAACAACTGACAATAATTATTACATAGAATAATACAGACACACGCACGTGCATAGGTGCATAATACAATGTTATTTACTATACGTCCATACTTTTATAAAACGTTCCTTGTTTCTTTCTCGTCTTGTTATATTTTAAATAAAATTTAGTTTGCCTGGAAACTTTAGATGACGACCAAAGTGTTTACAAACGGATTCTTGACCAGTTGGAAGATGTACAGCGGTTGCACCAAGATGTGATACGAACAGCAGAAAGTGGCATCAGCGGAGACCCTAAAACGTTCGAAAGTAAACAAAAGGGTATTTTAACAATGTCAACACGAAAAGGTTTTTTGACCACACCCCAGTAGCCACAAGACCTTATAAGCCTCATTAATTTCCCCTCGAGATCTCCACAACCGGTGACCGATTTTTCAAACTTTCCTTGTTGGGATGAAATGCATTTCCAAAGGCTTGACATAACTACCCTAATAAAAAACCTCTAGAAAAAATAAATAAAATAGTAGCCTATAATACTGAGTCTGGGTGACAATGATAAATCATGAATGCCACAGAAAGTTAGAAAAAATATCTTGGATAAATAAATTACTCTTAGACCGTCGTCATATATAGGATGATCATTGTTTGCAATGTTTCTTTTTTTATTATTAATTTCTGTGTCATCAAATTTGCCTAAAATGTATGCATAATTCAAAAAAATAAAACTATATAATAACTAATTTTTTATCATTGTGGGTCTTAAAGTATTATTTAACATTAAATATTTCAATAAATGACAATTTTTCGTTTAAATTTTATAAACTGCAAAATATGGAACCTATTTGAATATTATTGTGTATAAATATTGAATACCGACAGAATAATTTATTATTTATACTGTATAGGCATTTTAAAGGTTGGATAAGTGTGGTTAACATTCGAAGGGTATACGTTGCTGTCACTATCCTACTAATATCCAAATAATAAAACCCTTATAAATAACAAATTATTAGTTTAATATCCAACTTGCATACATAATATTTTCAGAATAATATGTCACTTTGATGTAAAAAAATTGAAAATAGGTATTTTTTTGAAAAAATCTAAGAATGCGTATATATAAAAAGATGACATCGTTAACCAAAATCATATTTTTTGGTAATTTAATTTTTTCGGATCAAAGTGAAACATTTAAAAACTAAAAAACTAATAGATAATAATATGATTATTTCCCTTGTTAAAATACGATCATATATTGCCTGATGCTACAAACAAGAAATTGCATACCTAGTTGTAACTTGTAAGTCATAAAATCAAAAATTATAGTAACATTTTAATTATTTTTTTTCACAATTGAGCTATTTATAATATGATGTACTCCAAACTGTACCCGGGGACTGTATTAGTTTGTATCTGCAAAATGCTTATTATACTAATATCATGTGTCTATATCCATATAAAGTTACCATAGTTACTGTACCAAGCCATTATTTATAGATGAATAAATATGAAATAATTAGTTGGATACCCGAAGTAGAAGGGTATATTGATGTACCCGAATACAGTTTATTAAATATAAGTGTATTATGATGCAAGCTTTCCGGGGTAGTCTTAAGTATTTTGAGCTAAAAGCACTACGAATGTCATTATATTTCAATACTCCATACATAATATTATATACATATTAGATTCCTACTTGAATGCAATATTTTATATCTGAAAATGTATTTTTATACGTTATTAAATAGGTACAAAAACACATTTAAGAATACCTAGTTATTAAGTTATTTTAATATTTATATCACGTTATAATATATTAGAATTAAAATTGGTTTTATAGTATTTTTATAAGCACAAGATTAATCTGGTTATTGAAAGTTATTGGGTTTCGATAAATTCATCTCCGGACATAATATAACCTTAATAATCCTATAGTGGTCAATAAGCCAAAAATAAAACCCTTGTGGCCTAAAAAGTTTTTAACTCGAAGATTACATCAATCTTATTTCGTTGAAACTGAGGCAAAAATATACTAAATTAACTAAAACATAATCCAATATTCCAACGTTTAATATCTTCAGTAGACAGTAGTCCAGTGGAATTCTTTTATAACTAAGTATAATAATTATCTAAATATCATAAAATATTAATTTTTTATTCGTCATTCGGCATTTATATTATTACTATCTAAATCTACATAAGTGTTAAGAAAAAATTTGACATAGATGGGCACGTTTTTGAGTACAAACATTAATTTTATTACACTATATATTATGTAGAAGTCTATTTTGTTTCTGTAACCAATGAAATTCTATAAAATATGTACACAAAATATATTCGATGATCGTGATTCTAAACAAAATTTCCAAGTAAACAACCTTATATAAACCAATATAGGCTTAAAAACTAAGCTGAAAAACACTCTTCGATTCCCGATGAATATGTGTGTAAAATTCTGAGCTAATTAGATAAATCTTGAGATTAGCGTTTACTAACAAGCGCACAGTAATGTTTATTTACAAAAGAAAAGATAATATTATAAAATAAAGTTTTAATATTGTTTTTTAACAAAATTTATGTACGTGGGTGAGTGTAATTAAAAATTATTACCTTTTTTTAATGTGCGAAACCTATTTACTTTTTATTTTTATTTAGAAACCTAATGCGATAAAAAAATAAAATTACTTAATGACTATACCACATTATTTTAACTGCATTCAAGTTTTAATTTTAAGAGATGACATATTTTCACATTAGTAAAAGATAAATGACAATGAGTACAATAAACTAATCATTTATTATTTTTAAAGTTAAATGTTAAACTTTTATTCAGAAATTCCAAAGAATTCTCGGAGACTATTATTTTCATTTTTATCAAAATATAAATCAATAAAAAGAGGCATACTACCAGAATTTTGAAGGCTCTTCAACTACCCTTATTTTTTTATTATCGAATTGAGCTTGAGAAGGCTCCGTTTATTTTTCCAAATCACGTGTCATAAAATCTTATTGGTAATTGTGGATGACAGTTTCATTTCCAATAAAACCATCTTGTTTGTTTTTTTTAAAATACGTCTCAATTGAATCAGTTATTGTCATCTCATGGTCTCCACTATTCATATGCCAGGCCGTTGAGAAATCGCGTTTCGTATTAACTTAAGGTTAACACTTAATCGTATGAATCATAAAAAATATAAAAGAAGGACATTCACCCCATTTTTATATGAGTTTAGTTTTATAATTTTTGTTACTGTATTATTAATAATAATAAAAACATGACGTCTATTATTAAATTATAAATATGCCATATTTGATTAAAAATTAAATTAACAAATTAATTTAGTAAATAATTAAATACGGGAAATATTGAAAATGTTGGCTTTAAGTAAAGTATAAAAAAAATGGATGTGCATATAAAATCAAATATATAATAATGTATCATAGTCATGTAAGTGTAGAAAAATATATTTCACTATAATACCTACCTAATAATGCGTTTTCCTAAGAAATTAATTATTATATCACACATAAAAAAAAACGATGAAATACAATTAGTTACAAATTAAGAATATTAAACATAAATTAAAATACTGTTTACTATTGTAGTTTTAAATGTTTAAGTAAAAATATATAATGTGTATTGAATGTGTTATAAAACATTTTATTCCAATACTTTTTATCTTTMTAACTCGTATAAATATTTTACGAATTATTTTTTTATAATACACTTGTAGATTCAGATACATTCACTTCATCTATAAATAATAAAAATAATTTAGAATTGTCGCGATGACTAAAATACGACATAAACTGATTCATGTACATTGGTACAAAGTATATGTTTTCAGTTAAAAGTTGATAGGAGTAACTAATATAGAAAAATAAATAAAAAACAATTTGATGCAAGGGGGATAGAAAAAAAGGTAATCAAAAATTTAATGGGAAAAAATGACAAACTACTTGTTCCATATGAAGAATGAAGATTCTAAACGACAAAATACTGAATTTAAAAATATAACATACCTAACGTACGTTATTATTTATTTCTATGACAAATTTATTTTACTTGTGGTCAACAAAAATATGACAGTAACAATTTTTATAATAATACCACCATATGAATTAGGTAATTTAAATTATATTATTTTCCCGTAAATTCTTCTGTTAAAGCTTTACTTTAAGGAATTAATAAATTTTAAAAAGAATGTCATTCGATGTTTAACAATTTCCAAACATCCAGGTATATACTGCATTAGCATTGTTTTTATGAATCTGTGACTGAAAATTGACCAGTAAAAAATGTTAATAGGTATTTTGACATACACATCTCAGCGTAGCCATAATTTTGTGCTAATGCAATAAAAATGTTGAAGAACTTTAAAATGTAACAGCTATTCAACATTATTTATTTTTATTGATTTTATAAATATTAATTTTTTTTTTAAATCTTTACCATACAAATAATTATCAGTTGTATAGTATTATACAGAGGTTTTGATTTATTTATCAAGAACCAAGAACCTAAAAAAGCATTCATTTGTTTATTGATGAACCTAATCTCTTAAATCATTTACATATATGTCATATGTTTAAGAGTACTCATAATGTTTTTGAATAAGATTATGTGTTGCTAAAATACTCAAATATCAAAATAAAT